AATCTGACAACGGTGGCCTTTTCAGCCCAGGGTGGCCTGATAGCCTTCAGGGATCCCCCATTGGGGGGCACCGGCCAGGGGACAGCCGGTAGCAGAGGGACCGAGCATCATCTGAGTGGCCAGTCGCTGTGCCTCCCTGAGTACCCCTCCCCCTATGAACATCAGCAGAAACTGCTTTTTTAATGCCAATTGGGGGACCAACGGGATATCTCTAGGTGGCGGGCGCCAAGCATGCCCAGGAAGGTACATGAGGCCAATGGGGATTGAACCCAACACCTCCTGAATGCCACTGGCGTGCCTTACCAACTGAGCTAGGCCGCTTGATCATTTTTCACATTTCGAGAGTAGTGGAGCGAGGCCCCTAAAGTGAGGAATCAGATCCGGATCTCCAATCTCTCCCCCATCTCCGGTTGACGGAGGCTCGTCCACGCAATCTTTCATGAGATTCCAGTCCATGACATGATGGATGGGCGACTTTTTGTGATGTATCTGGCTGCGATTACGGCCGGTGCTGGGTGTATCTGGCGGCAATCACGTCCAGAACTGGGTCGAAAGGTTCGAATGTGAGTATGCCGTGAGCGAAGGTGGGCATTTGGCGGAAAAAGGTATAAGCCGTCGTCCTGCGTCAGCCAGCTGGGGTGTGCTGACGTGGCTGATGCTTCGCAGAATCCAAAGGAAAGGAGAGGGCGGGAAAGAGAAGCAAAGGGAAAAGGCGGGAAAGAGAAGCAAAGGGAAAAGGCGGGAAAGGGCTGGAAGAAAGGAGGGGAAAGGGAAAGGGCGGGAAGAAAGGAGGGGAAAGGGAAAGGGCGGGAAGAAAGGAGGGGAAAGGGAAAGGGCGGGAAGAAGAAGAAGTGAAGGGAAAGGGCGGGAAGAAGGAGCTAAGGGACAGTGAGGAAGGGGAAAGGGAGGGAGGGTAAAGGGAGGAGGGAGGGGAAAAAGGGAAAGGGAGGAAAGCGGAGGAGGGTGGGCATGCGGAGAGTGGGAGAAGTGCGTACATCTGCCAATCTAAGAACCACAAAACGAACCAGCAGCTATGGAAGGAGCAATGCGGGAACGAGCGCGGGAACGAGCGCGGGAACGAGCGCAAAGCGCGCCAGTGCCGCGGGAGCATGTACCTATCCGTCTTCGTCTCGCGTTTAAACCAGCGGCATTACTAAGTAGAGAGCAACGGATTCAAAAGCTCTCGCAGTCCATGATTGTACTACCGGCTGATGGCAAGACAGTGGGCGATATAGCGCGGCACATATGGCTGATATTCAATCTCGAAGAGAAATGCTCCGCGGGCGTACGACTTGAGGTTAGCAGGCCAATTTGCCCATCGAGTTACTCTTGATCTGTAACGGTTAATCTCTGTCATCGTCAGCCTTTCCCTAATTTCTTCATAATCATAATCGCGATGCCAAGCTCGGTGCCATTGGATGGCTTCTCTGTGATTGTGTTCTCTGAATGCAGCCAGGAGAGATGAACACACTTTTACATCACTCTATGCTAATGCCTCTCTCTCTCTCTCTCGTTAATTCTCTCTCTGGTTAACTCTCTCTCTCCCCCCCTGTATTTGATTCTCTCTCTCTCTCTCTCTCTCTCTCTTTGATTCTCTGTTTCTCTTTTCGATTCTCTCTCTCTTTGATCCTCTCTCTCTCTCTCTCTTTGATTCTCTCTCTCTCTCTCTCTCTCTCTCTCTCTCTCTCTCTCTCTCTCTCT